AATTGCCCTTAAACTCTGAGTAATATACTCATATAGACTATATATATCTCGATTAGTGTGTCTTCAATGGGCCTCCGTACAAAAAGTAAAGCAGACATTAATTTGGTGATTTGATATTTCGAATGAGGACTAGTGTGAGATAGTATGGCATGAATTGCAATAAGTTCCTATGACAGCTAAAACTTGCAAATTGCCCGTAAACTCTGAGTATTATTCTACATAGGCCACATTTATGTCGATTAGTGTGTCTTTAATGGGCCTCCGTACCAAAAGTAAGGGAGACAGCAACTTTGTAATTTGATATTTGGAGTCGGGATTAGTGTGAGATAGTATGGTATAAATTTCAAAATGTTCCTAAGACTCGCAAATTGTCCGTAAACTCTGGGTAATGTTCTCATATAGCTTATATATATCGTCGACCGAGAATTAACTAGTTCCATTTAACATTTCCTCTGTTCTGAGGAAATTGAGGTTCAAGTTTCAGAACTGCATAATTCTGTTAAAAGTAAAGATTATCATTTGAGACTTTTTATGGTATTAATATGATTCAATACTGATTCCCATACCAAATTTCAAGTCCAGAATGTCACTGGAATATGAACAATTCATGAAGAGATTTTGCAGATACACCTTTGTGACTTTCAAATATGAATAATTTCAAAGCCATATTGGTGTATCTGCATGTTTAGATGGATATATTTGCATAATTGTTTAGGAAATGGGTAAAAGGCTTGGAATTTATTCGAGAAATAGAATCAGACATATAAGGGTTGTTATATAAGAGAAATAACTCATTCTGACCAATAATTGACCGTTTAAGATCACGAGAAAACAACACAGATAGTCAAACACATCAATTATTTTGTTTTAAGAACTCTATCATAAATTAAAACATTTTGCATTTACCTTTGCAACTTTGTAACTATTCTGACATTCGGAAAATATAAAACATACCAGAATTAATAATATTAACAATAACTTTTCAACATCTGAACTAAATACTGCAATAAGGCCTATCATTGTAAAGACATGTAGGCTCTATCAGAGGGGGGCATGAATTTTAACATCGCTTTAATGTCTTGAATTTTGACTTGTGTGAGGGGCTTGGATTTTGCAGATTTTGGTTCACCAAGGTGTATGGAAGTTATCCCACTACGAGACCATTGTTGCTCAAAAACGTTCTCAGTAATCCACTTTTGGATCGTAGTCTTTATCTTGGTCACTATCATCCCCATAACAACTAGATTCATCAGATGAATTCCTGAAAAGTATTTTTAACATCTCTTCGGTATAGTGGGCAAGTTATAAATTGAAAATTTATTTGGCATAATAAAGATAATCATTGACCGAAATTTTTAGGATTAAGTAGGTGTATCTTCGTAAATGATTTTGTATTTAGTTGATTGGTGAATGCTTATACATCGTGGTTGCATCATAATTATAATCAAAGATACTGAGACACATAATCAAAATGACTTACCCTTGAAAAAGTAGTTTTATATTTTCAGTAGACAAAGGTTTCCCTCGTTTTCTTCTAGGCAAAGAGCCTTTGTCAGCCATGTTTGTTGTTATGATCACGTGACCATTAATGTGCAATCCGATTGGATTTTTCAGTTGCACCAAGTTAACTCTCAAAAAGGGGTCAAATTTCAAGATACATCTTTGTAATTTTGTGGATAACTTGAGAGAAACACTAGATATAAGGAAGCCGATTTATGCAAATTGCCCGTAAACTCTGAGTATTATTCTACATAGGCCACATTTATGTCGATTAGTGTGTCTTCAATGGGCCTCCGTACCAAAAGTAAGGGAGACAGCAACTTTGTAATTTGATATTTGGAGTCGGGATTAGTGTGAGATAGTATGGTATAAATTTCAAAATGTTCCTAAGACTCGCAAATTGTCCGTAAACTCTGGGTAATGTTCTCATATAGCTTATATATATGTCGATTGGTGTATGTCTTAAATGTCTTCTATGAAGGCTAAGCTTCGCAAATATTATTCAGTATTCATACTGGTGATTGTTACTGTACTGCTAAATATTTTTATTCAAAATCAATGCTGCCAGTGGGCGTATATCCCTTGCCTGGCAAGCTATCTTTTTTAGCTTGTAAACACTCTAGAAGGCACAATTCTTGACGGATTTTAACGAAATTTTAAAGCCTATTGAAAATGAGAAAAATCGAAAAAATATTCAATATGAGTTATTGCCCTTGATCTTGAAAACTCGTTCAATTTGTAGCTCATAAAAACTCTAGAAGGCATGATTCTTGCCGAATTTTGACAAAACTTGGTTTTATTTTTCATTACTGCGCTGAAGATTGAATATTTGTCTTCTAGAGTTTTCAGTAGCTAAAGATTGAACACGTTTTCAAGAACTAGGGCAATAACTCATACTCAATATTATTCAGTATCGCCCTAAAGAGTTCAAAAGAAGTGTATGACAGAAGGTTGAATATTTCATACTGGTGATTGGTACTGTACTGCTAAATATTTATGTTCAAAATCAAAGCTGCCAGTGGGCGTATATTACCTTGCCTGGCAGGCTATCTTTAGAAATCTTCTTTCTCTCTCCCTTTTGGGGTTTTTGCATGCCTATTTTGGGGTAATTTTTGGTCTAGATTCGGAATTTGATGTCTGAAATTGCATTATCTGTAAGATTGGTCATGGTCATCATATATTGAATTTTTTTTAGGAGACATTAAGAATTGGCCAGGCTTTCATTCGACATATTGGAAAGCTTTCAGCGAGATTTCTGGAAAAAGTTGTAGAATTTTGTGTTTTAACATTGGAAGAGTTGGCAAATGAATTAGTGGAGTGAGTCCATATACCATTCGTAACTCTGTTCACCACATAAATTGGTCTTGGAAATAAGTTTACCCCTTGACTATTCGTTATACAGATATCTATGTGCATTACAAATAGAAAACAAAATGGGGTTTTTAAAGGACACACTAGTCACTAATTCATCTGGAGAAGGTCCGTAATATCAAATTCCAAAACTGACCACATAAACATTTAAAGGGACAGGTGGGCCATTATAGGGGGTTGATTTGAGTCATGAATATATGTATATAGTCTTTAGAAGTACAAGGAATACAACGAAATTAGCTCAAACAAGGAATTTCTTTTCCTGTTTCTATAGATGTCTTGAATATATGTCAGTGTTTCGTCTGTTTAACTTTCAAAGGAGGATAATTCTGGACACACAAATTTGAAAGCTCAATTTTCGACGATGAGCTGTGAACTGATTGGCTTAGCTTAAAAAAATGTCCTGTTTGTGAGACTAAGGAAGGATTGGTCATAAAATGGCACACCCTTTAAGGGACAATATGCAAAATTTTCATCATCAAAAATGTTAGTAAGTGAAAATATGTTCTATGTGTCTACTTGACCAATCTGAAGATGTTTTAAAACGGGATATTTTTAAAGGGGTATTTCACTTTTTGTTAAAACTTTTCATTATCAAAAACATTGTAAATTATACCCTGAAAATGATTCTAAAGTATGCTATTTATTTATGGATCTTCTTGATCAGACTGTTTGGCTTTATAAAGGCTCGATATTATTAGTTGAAACCTTTAGAATACGTTGGAGACATATTTCTCTACAAACTAGGCGTTTATTTTACTCTTAAAGGGCACATTCTCTTTGGTGTATAGATATCACAAATTTGAGTAAAAAAAATTCCACCTACAAAAAAAAAACAGAATGTCCCTCCCTTTAATGTTGAACCTTGGTAGCCTTGTAACGACTCAATTTTTTGTTGAAACCTTTAGACAAAGGCCCTATTTCTCTCCTTGTATCCGCGCATCGTAGTTTTCCATCAACAATAAAACATAGCGTCTAACACATACTTTAACGTACTTCTATAAAAAATTCGCTCAGAAAAACAAACAACGTTGTTCGCCTAATGAATAAATAAACGAATGGAATTCGACACTATGTTAGTTTTACCAAACAATAGAAATTGTGATATTAATGATCATAATTCGCCAAATGCCACACCCTTCCACCCCCTCCCACTGTAGAAACGCCACTGTTAATGGCAAAACTCATCAATAGCCGCATCTGTCTTTGAGGTTGGATGGTCAGACTGGTTAGTCGCTGAAAGCGTGTTTTCTTTAGTACAACAGCAAATTATCTGTTGCAGTGGACCATTGTTAACCGCTACTGTCGCACATTCCAAATTAATCCAATCATGCGATAAAAGATAGAGATTTATATATTTTGACAGATTAAATAGTTTAATAGGTTTGAAACAGCTTTAATATACATAGGAAATATGTTATTTTTCATATTTACAAAATATATATAGGTTATATCTTGTGACCTTGACCTTTGGTGACCATTTAGTTCCAGTTATATAGCCAGTAAAAATTGCGATTTTTATCTTTAAAGGGACAGATGCCCCATTTTGGAGGGTTGATTTTAATCTTGAATTTATGTAAATAGTCTTCAGAAGTACTAGAAATGTACAAAAATCGCATAATTCCTTTAAAAATTCTTCAAACTAGGAAATTTTCTCAATTTTCTTATAAATGTTCTCTCTATATATCATAGATTAACAATCTATATGGTTTTGTCGAAGACTTCTAATTTACACCAGAAGCAGGGTCACCTGAAGTGATTTTGAGAAATTAAGTTCTTAAGCCCAAAACCAGAAGTGATTTACATTCTGTTAAGATCAATTTTATAATTAGTGGCTCACACAGAGTGGTATCAGACATGGTATAAAAGTGTGGTATCAGACATGGTATAAAAGTGTGGTATCAGATATGGTATAAAAGTGTGGTATCAGACATGGTATAAAAGTGTGGTATCAGACATGGTATAAAAGTATGCTCCTTCCTGTAATAAAGACAAGTGTTTACTCTGCTAAGCTAAAGAGCTAAAGAAAAAGAAAAAAGCTAGCTACACTTCACTGCTTTGCTTAGCAGAATGTAAACAGGCCTTTACACACCATAGTAGACAAAGTAAATGTAGTTCTGATGTAGAGATTACACTTTTTTCTTCTTTTTTTTCTTAACTTTTGGTTTCTCCTTTTTATTCTGTCGACATCTTGGACAAAACCATTCATCATCTTCAGGTGGTTCTTGAACAATATTGACACAAACCCTAAAGAGTTAAAGCAATTGCATTACTGAACAGACTAAATCAACCAAACTCTAGGGTTTATAATTTGGTTTTGAATAGGAATTTATGTCGCATAAAGCTTGGACACTAAAACAAAAAAATAAAGCAACAGTAAGTCAAAGGCAATAGCTCAGAAATCCCAACATAACAAATGAGCATATAGGGCAGATATCAACAGGGTTGACCTTTTGAAAGAAGGCTTGCCAGGCAAGGTAATATAAGCCCACTGACAGCTTTGATTTTAAATAAAAATATTTGGCAGTACAGTAACAATTACCAGTATGAAATATTCAACCTTCAGACATACACTTCTTCTGATCTTTTTGAGGCGATAATAAATAATATTAATTTCCTTGAGTGGCATTTAGTAACTGGGGTATGAATAACTGGACACAATAATATGGATAACAATTACTTTGATAAATATCATTCAATGTTTCGACGATGATGCTTTCGTCTTTATCAAGCAATAATGCGTTCTAGAATGTTTACAGTGTAAATTTTTCGATTTATCTTATTTTCTGTTCATCTTTGGGTGATTACATACACTCACACCAAGTTTTGTCAATATCTGTTGATAATAAAACGAGCTAAAAATTGAACGCGTTTTCAAGAACAAGGGCAATAACTCATACTAATTATTTTACGATTAATATGATTTTCAAAAGGGTTCATTCTTGGATGATTAGTAACACTCATTCCAAGTTTAAATCTGCCAAGATTTGTACCTTATGGAGTGCGTATGAGCTAAAAAATTTATACGCGTTTTCAGGAACAAGGGCAATAAATCATACTAATTGTTTTTTGATCTTTCTGATTTTAAATAGGGTTTATCCTTGGGTGTTAACAAACACTTGCACCAAGTTTCATCAAAATCCGTCATGACTTGTGCCTTCTAGAGTGTTAAAGAGCGTTTTAAGAACAAGGGCAATAACTCATACTAAATATTTTTCAATTTTTCTGATTTTCTGACAAATAACCATACAAAGTTTCATTGAAATCAGTCATCAATTGTACCTTGTAGAATGTTTACGAGCAATTGTGGACAGATTGACGGACAATAATATACGCCCCCCCATTTCAAGTGCGTGTATAAAAAGCAACATGAACGGAATATTCACAATAGCACAAGTTCAAGACATATTAGCATTGCTCACAATATTTTCATAAACTATAGAAGATCTACACTGAAAGATTTATGTTTAAGAAGCGTTTTGTGACAATTTTAATCTTAATGTTATTTTTTGAAAACTAAAATAATTGTATATAGAAATGGTGGTATTTTTCGTAAAATGAGAGACAGAATTATAAAAATGAACCTTTTACAACAGTAACCTAATACGATTATTTGGGAATAACCTTCTCATCCTGGTTATACTGGAGCAAAATCATTAAAAATTTAGCTGTAAAAGCTGAAAAGGCTCTAATTCCTATTAAAAGTTTAATTAGGAAAACTGGTTTTCCAAGTATGTTTTAAAATTTTTGACAGTATAAAGATGGCTTGCCAGCCAATGTTATATACGCCTACTGGCAGCTTTGATTATAAATATAAATATTTAATTAAGTCAAAACTGTTCGAAATAGATCTGCAAAATTATCACAAAGTGAAATCCTAAAGGAATATGTTAAATGTATCTAAGAGTTTCATTTAATATCATGCATGCCATCTAAATTCAAACTAAATACTGTTAAATTCAGATTAAACTTACTTCCCAAATGCCGTAAATCTATATAAGAGAAAGTTAATAAATAGACTATTTACACATTCGAATGAAGATCTATTCATTTATTGTTTGAATGTAAAACCACACAGAGTTGGTATCAATACCATACATTTTAATAGAGACAATAATCTAAATGAAATTAACAATTTTCGCCTCTTAGTTTTATCTAAATGTATAGACAATGTCTTCAAGAATAATGAATTATGTAGAATATAACATGTATATATATATGCTTAATTTGATAATAAAAGGAAATAAATGTTATTTCTAATTATTTATTGAAAATATACATGTACTATTTTTGTATAGTCTTTCAAGTTTCTATTCAATACTCAGAAAAGTAATCAACTCCTTACTCAAGACATTATCTATTCCAATGATCAGACAAAGTTACAAAACCAATGAAAATTGCAGACTCAATTGAGCTCATGAACAAACTTGACATGTTTTAATTCAATAGCAATAACTCAAAAAACATTCTTCAAATTCAAACTTATCCAATATCTTATCAATATATATTTATTATCAAACCAAATTTTCTTTTTATCAGATGAAAATTTTGTCAAATTTCAGCTTGACCGAAATCTTATCAATTTCAATGCTAACACCAAAACATCAAAATCCATTGAAAATTATAGCTTCTTTTGTGCCCGCAAACAAATTTCTCAAGGACAAAAACTCAAATAACAAATATTTAGGCATTTTAACATAGTCAAGGGCATAACCCAAAACCCAAATTCGAACTTGACTGAGATCTCATCAATTCCAATGCTCACACACAATTTCATCAGAATCGATTGAAAATTTTTGCTTCTTTTGTGCCCAGAAACAAATTTCTCAAGGACAATAACTCAAAATCTGTTCATCAAAAAATTGTCAAATTCAAACTTGACCGAGATCTTATCAATTCCAATGCTTTCCAATGCTCACACCAAGTTTCGGCAAAATCAGATGAAAACTGTAGTCTCTTTTGTACCCTCAAGAAATGTTGACCGATGATCGGACGAACTGACGGACAGGGGCAAGGACAATATACGATTATGTGGACATATAATAATCATAGGAGACCTTATATCATAACCATGCAAAGTTAACTTGACAAACACTGTCAAAATTTCAGCTTCTGGATACTGTTTCCAAATTTGGACAAAATTTCGTTTTATTTTCTTACAGCTTTTATATTTACTTAACCTCTTCAGTTTAAGTTTAAATTCTACTGAAACTGAACATTGTGCTAAATGTTGTTGAAACTTTTTCATTGGTGGACCAATGTAGTTTCGATTGGTCAATGCACAACTCATCAGAATAGGGCAAAGGTTATTCAGAAATAAGAAGGGGGTTACCGTACCTAAAGTGTTTAAGTAAAAAAAAGATCCAATAAATATGGCAGTTTTGATTAGCCTGCAGTGGAAACATGTATCATATAAACATTTATGTGTTGACATTTCAACCTGGGAATTGTTACAATTGCTATTACCTACCAATGATACCAATCAGGACATTCATCACAACCTATCATTGGACTTCCATCATCTTGCATTTTACATGCGGGACATATCCATACCTGATTACCAGCAGCATCCTGGAATTAAGGCAAAAAAGTGCAATTTGAGCAATGTTGTTAAATCTTGATATTAGGCCTGTTCAACTTTTTATTGTAAATGTGTAAAATAAATCTAATTCATCCTTTTTCATGTTAATAAAAATAAATATACCAAGTTTTCTTAAAATCTGTGCAAAACTGCAATATTTTTTAAGCATTTTTGGCAAAGACAACAACTCAAAATCCATTATTATCAGAAAATTAGAAGACAAAATTTTTTTTTTATCAAAATTCAAAAAGCCAATTTTGACCTGTTTTGGAATCAATACCTAATCGATATACACCGGCACACCAAGCTTTATCAAAGATAGCTTGCCAGGTAAGGTAACATACGCTCACTGGCAGCTTTCAGAAATGATATAACAGTCTTTAGTGACTAAAGTACGAATTTTCTCATATTGAAGAAATTCAATAATCTGAATTCAATGATATATATATTTACTGCCATTTATTTATACTGAGAAATTCCACCAATCAATATCCCAAATACATCAAATTATCGCACCAATAAACATGATCACACCATGTTTCATTAAAATAAATTGACAACTGTAGTCTCTGATGTGTTCACAAATATATATTTAAGCGTTTTTCTTAAGTCAATAACTCAAAAACCGTTCATCGAAAGATCGTCAATTTCAAACTTGTCCAAGATCTCATCAATATAAATGATCACACCAAATTTCATTAAATCAGTTGAAAACTGTAGTCTCTATTGCGTTCACAAACAAATTTTAACGCATTTTTCCTATTCAAAGGGTAATAACTCAAAAACCGTTCATCGAAAGATCGTCAATTTTAATCTTGTCCAAGATCTCATCAATATTAGATATGAGTTATCAGTAAATGAATGTTTCTGAGAGTGGAATTTTCATATTTCATAGGTTTTCTTTACAGTTTACAATTCAAGAACAAGGGCAATAACCCATAATAAATATTTTTCGATTCGTCTGATTTTCATTAGGGTTCATCCTTGGGTGATTACCAACACTCACACCAAGTTTCGTCAAAATCCATCAAGAAACCAGCTCTCTTTCGTGTCCACAAACAATTCAAGAACAAGGGCAATAACTCATAGTAAATATTTTTCGATTCGTCTGATTTTCAATAGGGTTCATTCTTGGGTGATTACAAACACTCACACCAAGTTTCGTCAAAATCCATCACGAAACCAGCTCTCTTTCGTGTCCACAAACAATTCAAGAACAAGGGCAATAACTCATAGTAAATATTTTTCGATTTGTCTGATTTTCAATAGGGTTCATCCTTGGGTGATTGCAAACACTTGCACCAAGCTTCGTCAAAATCCATGAGGAAACCAGCTCTCTATCATGTCCACAAACAATTCAAGAACAAGGGCAATAACTCATAGTAAATATTTTTTGATTCGTCTGATTGTCAATAGGGTTTGTCCTTGGGTGATTACAAACACTCACACCAAGTTTCGTCAAAATCCAAGAAAGAAACCAGCTGTCTATCGTGTCCACAAATAATTGTGGAAGGATGGACATTTACATGTGGGCATATAAAAATGATATAAATCTAGTCTAGCTTCGCAAGATACTCTTGAAAATCAAGAAGATTTGATTCAACTCAGAGATCAGCAATAGACAAAATCTGATAAAGATACCTTGTAAGGAAAGGTAACATACACCCACTGGCAGCTGTCAGAAATGATAAAACAGTCTTTTTATCAAAAGCCGTTCATCGAAAATGCGTCAAGTTAGAACTTGTCCGAGATCTTATCAATTCCAATGATTACACCAAGTTTCATCAGAATGGGTTGAAAACTGTAGCTTCAATCCTGCTCACGAACTATTTTTAACAAATTTTGACATGTTTTTACAAAGTCATGGGCAAAACTCAAAATCCGTTCATCAAAAATGCGACAAGTTAGAACTTGTCCGAGATCTTATCAATTCAAATGATCACACTAAGTTTCATCAGAATGGGTTGAAAACTGTAGCGTCAATCCTGCTCACAAACTGTTTTTAACAAATTTTGTCTCGTTTTAACAAAGTCATGGGCAATAACTCAAAAACCGTTAATCGAAAATATGTCAAATTCGAACTTGACGGAGATCTTATCAATCTAAAGCATCACACCAAGTTTTATCAAAATCAGATGAAAACTGTAGTCTCTATAGTACTCACAAGAAATGTTGACGGTAGTGTTGAAACGGTTAATCAGTCAAGCGATTTTGGGTAATATTTCACGGGTAACTGGGTCTGATTTGCAAGAATTTTTGTCAAGTTATCAAGCCTCTTTTTTGATATGTTCAACTCATTACTTGTTCTGGATAATCGCGTCACGATGATCTTAGTTTGTCGACAGTCGCTGTGTGCACTGTTATGTTAATTAGGTTAAACAAATAGCACTGTAAACGTTATCAGACCTTCGGCACGACGATTACCCGGCTTGGTTCGTAAAAATTCACTAACCGTTTCAACACTAGTTGACGGATGGACCGACGGACAGGGACGATGACAATATACGACCACATATTCATGTGGGCGTATAAAAAGATCCAATGGTTGGACAGATGCATAGGGGTAAGATCTATAAAAATTATCTTGACTGTAGTCATTTTAACACACAGTTTTCTCTAGTTTTGGCTTAAAACAAAGGGCAATTTTGAAAAGTTCAACAAATTCAATACATTTGTTTTAATCCTTTTTAGCAAACCTTGAAATAAAAGCAGAAACAAAATGTCCGGCACAATTCAATTTGTGTCGGACATTTCAATTTTGTACAAATACACTATTTTCAATTAAAAAATTACATTTAAAACCCATCAATTTAGGACTGAAATTCGCTGTTTTCTCACCTGCAAGCTCACCTGCAAGTGCAATACAGGTTAAAAACTAACTAAGAATAGTTTATGTCATTTAGGGATTATTTATTTTCCAGGTGACTCTGAGGGAACGATAAAGCCGTAAAACAATAGGTAATAGAATTAAATTATATCTTGTTGAAAAGTTCTAGGAACATAAAAAAGAGCCATTGGAAGCAATAACTTATCTGTTTGGACCTGAAAAGATATCTATTTATATCAGCCATGATATGAATTTCTTACTATTGCAAAGTCCCAGTTTGTTATCGAAATGTCCATTCTTTTTTTTTTTTTCTCGAAATTTACACACCTTCCTGAGCAGTAGTTGCAGCAACCATTCAACTTCTCTAGACCTTCTGTATTGGGGACGTGTTGCATAAGTATATTTTGGAACATTTTTGCAAAACCAGAAATGCCACAGTTCAACATGTGCAAAAAGTCGAAAACCAGCTCTAGAAGGCGCATTTTTGCGTCGATTTTCTGCGGACTTTCATTTTAAGAATGTGTCTGTAATTTCTAATCTGTTAGCACTTGAAAATTTACGTAATTTGAAAATTTGTCCCTCACGTTTTTGGATCAAATTTTGCACTTTTTTTGCAACTTTTTTTTTTTGCATTGATTGATCTGAAATTTTATATGCAAAGGGGCATCACTAAAGTAAATAACATGTTGTTGTCAAATATTTAACTTTACTTCCGGTTTTAAACGGGGAATCAATCCACTTCCGGTCGAATAACTTCCGGTGTAATTGAAATAGGTCAACGAAATTTATGCTGATTGTAATTAAATGCTATTACAAAAGATAGCTTGCCAGGCAAGGTAATATACGCCCACTGGCAGCTTTGATTTTGAATAAAAATATTTAGCAGTACAGTAACAATCACTAGTATGAAATATTCAACCTTTAGTCATACATTTCTTTTGAACTCTTAAGGGCGATACTGAATAATATTGAGTAAGAGATATTGCAATAGTTCTGGAAAACGTGTTCAATCTTTAGCTACTGAAAACTCTAGAAGACAAATATTCAATCTTCAGCGCGGTAATGAATAATAAAACCAAGTTTTGTCAAAATTCGGCAAGAATCATACCTTCTATAGTTTTTATGAGCTACAAATTGAACGATTTTTCAAGATCAAGGGCAATAACTCATACTAAATATTTTTTCGAATTTTCTCATTTTCAATAGGCTTTATCTATGGGTGATAACAAACACTCACACCAAATTTCGTTAAAATCCATCAAGAATTGTTTCTTCTAGAGTGTTTACGAACTAAAAATTGAACGCGTTTCAAGAACAAGGGCAATAACTAATACTGAATATTTTTCAATTTTTCTTATAGGGTTTATCCTTGGGTGATTACAAACACTCACACCAAGTTTCGTCAAAATCCATCAAGAATTATGCTTTCTAGAGTGTTTACTAGCTAAAATTGAACGCGTTTTCAAGAACAAGGGCAATAACTCATACTAAATATTTTTCAGATTTTCGATAGGGTTTATCCTTGGGCGATAACAAACACTCATACCAAGTTTCATCAAAATCCGTCATGAATTGCACCTTCTAGAGTGTTTATGAGCGTTTCAAGAACAAGGGCAATAACTCATAGTAAATATTTTTCGATTTTTCTGATTTTCAGTAGGGTTCATCCTTGGGTGATTACAAACAACCATACCAAGATTCGTCGAAATCAGTCAAGAATTGTGCCTTGTTGAGCGTTTACGACAGATGGACCAACGGAATGAGGTGACGGCAATATACGCCCCCTATTTCATGTGGGCGTATAAAAAACGAAGAAAAAAAAAATCCAGACCAGAAGTGATACTTTGGCCGCCATATTGAAAAGACACACTTTTGTAAAACTCAAAATAGAGCCTCAGGGTAAATGTTGATATGCTCAAATTTGATGTGAATGTATTCTAGAATCGATTGTGAAAAAAACAGTGGGAGCTAAATTTAGAATTTCGCTTTTGCTTTTTTGCAACTTCCTGTTGAAGTCACACCACGTGACCTTGACCTTTGATGACCTTGACCTTTATAGGGTCAAAGGTCATTGACCTCCGACATGTACTTCCGGTTTTATAGCTGTCCAAAAAAAAACTGGACTGCTGTAGCACGTGACCTAATTAATCTAGAGGATTAATG